TGACCAGGAATAACAGTCACAAGCTGGCAGAGGGTAGGTTTAGTCTAGATATCAAGAGGCGCTACTTTGCGGTCAGGGCGGCTAGGGTCTGGAACCAACTTCCAAGAGAAGTGGTGCTGGCTCCTACCCTGGGGGTTTTTAAGAGGAGGCTGGATGAACACAGTGCTGGGGTCGTTTGACCCCAGTATTCTTTCCTGCCATGGCAGAGGGTTGGACTAGATGATCTGCTCAGGTCCCTTCCGACCCTAGAAACTATGAAACCCTTGAGCCACATCCGGATGGAGGCAAGGCCGGGCCCCTTCCTCAGCAACCCCAGCTGAGGGGGCAGTGGGGGGTCCCACCTCTGTCCGGGGCTGCTCACCCCGCCCCCCCCCCCCCCGTGTCTGATGGCCCAGGCCCCACTGCACAAGTGGCTCTACAGGGGCTGGGGGAACGTCCCGCGAACTCCAGCACCGACCGGGGCAACAGAAGCAGCTCGAGCAGCCGACAGGGCCGCGCGGCTGTGGGACCTGGCCCCAGTGATGGACAGTGCCCGGCCAGCGCCTTAGGCGGAGGGGCCGCAGCTGTCTGCTCCCTGGCCCTGGCCCCATCCCTGCAGCCGGCGCTGGGGGACCCGCCGGGCACCTCGGGGACTCGGATGTACCGGAAGCACCTGGGCAGCGGCGGCACCTGCCAGAGCACACGGCACTTCTGGTCCAGGGCAGAGCGGCTCCAACTGCCTGGTTCGGGGGCCATGACCCCCCACGGTCGGGCGGCTGCGCAGCCCCACAGCGCGCCAAGGGCGGGGCCTCAGGCAGGGATGTGATGTCACGGGGCGGCCGCATGAGCAGCAGAGCCCCGCCCCTTATAGAGTCGTAGATGGAGAGGGGGACGGGACCTCGCAGATCGTCGGATCCAGCCCTCGGCACCAAGCAGAAAAGACAGCCGGGGTCAGGCGACCCTCCAGCCTCCGCTTGAAGACGTCCAGGGTAGACGACTGCACCACCTCTGGAGGGAGCTTATTCCAAAGTCTGGATACCCTGACTGGGAAGAAGTTTTTCCTAACGTTGAGCCTGAATTGATCTTTCAGGAGTTTGTGGCCTTCACTCCTGGTTTTCCCCTTGGGTGCCCTGGTGAACAGTTGCTCACCAAGCCCTTCATGTACTTCTCTAGTGTAGTGGTAGTGCAGGCCCACTGGGCTCATGGCCGATCTGCAACACAGGGCTTGCACCCTCCACTGGAAGCAGCCCTTTCTGCTCGCGTGTCCTCGGGGTTATGGAAAGCACTGCCAACCCTTCCAGGCAGGGCTGTACTGAGCCAAAGGGCTTAGCTGGCAGGAGAGGTGCCGTGTGGCTGTTTTCACGCAGGTCAGACACCCAGAATGGCAGTGAGGGGCATGGACCTGTCCAGTGCACTGTGGATGCCCCCTACCAGTCTGCTATAAGTCTTCCACTGGGAGGATCTCGGCTACATGCCTATTTTATGGAGATGGGGGATTTCTCCCTAGCTTGCTCCTTCGGCTTGTTAAGGACACACAAGACATGGGGACATCTGAACCCTAATGACCTCTGGGCTTGAGGCCTGCAAGTAGGATGCCTGTCAGGGATTTGGAGCATCTGAAACCCCCAGGCTGAAGAGTAACACAACATGGAGGTGAACCATTGGGCTCTGCTCAGTGGATGGAATTCAGAAACAATTGGACTGATTTGGCCTGATGCATGAAATAAATAAAAGTACTGAGTCAAAGGAGCCAGCATGGCCCAGGCAGCCCTATAGGAGTGGCTTTTGCTGCCCTTTCCCTACACCTGTTTCCATTTGAGCTCCTGGTCTTCAAATGCAACCAGCTCCCCACACGGTTGCGTCACAGCCCTGTGGAGCAGCATTGTTACATCCACCTGGTGTGGCTCCCAGTAATTGATTTTTTGCCTCTGCCATTTCCAATACAGCCTGTGTTTTATGGCAAACATTTTCCTGGGTGGGGCACATGACCTTGCACTTCATGCCCCTTCTTTTCCTTCCATTTCTATTGTGCCAGTCCTGAAAAAGTGAATTGATTCTTCCTGAAAGACACCCCATTTCTCTATCAGCGGTGCTTCTTGCGTCACCAGCAAATGTCATCAGCATGCTTCTACTGTTGCTGCCTGAATCACTTATGTCAAATCAGGCTTCACAGCCGTGATTCTCAATCAGGGTGTCATGACCCCCTGGGGTGCCTCAATATCCTTTCAAGGGTGCTGTGGGGTGCCACTCAGTGGCACTGTTGGGAGGGCAGGCATGATTCACAAGATAAACCCAGAGATTTCAAATAGGAATCCACTACGTTAAAAACATTCTGACCTGCCGTGGGCTTTGTGTGTTCTTTGCAACAGAATTATTACTCTGTTATGTTTCTGCTGGCAAAAAGCAAGTGAAAACAAATAGCAGACATTTTCTGAGGGGTGTCTTGTGTCTAAAAAGTTAGAACACGGTCTTAGGGTGACCTTTGAGGAACTTCTCTATTCACTTCCTTCCACCCTACTGTCTCATCTTACACAGCCTCTCTCTTCTTACACAGCCTTCTTGTCACTTTTCCTTAGTTTCTACTCTAGCTTTGAGTTCCTGTACTCAAGAAAATGGGCATAAGTATTACAGAAACTGTAAATTTAGCTTAACTGTAAGTTTCCCATATAGCATCCATGGCTTTCTGAAGTTCATACAAAAGATTAAATCTTCCATGTTTCCTTTGATAAAGCATCTTTGTTTCACAGATCAGTGATCAGATTAGTTTGGCACAATCTCTGGAAAACCCATGCTGCATTTTTATGTCATTTCCATATGTTGATTGTTCTTTCTTTCAGTTCTTCTAAAGCCTTCCAGGGTGTGACAGGGGGCTGTTATGAGGCCAATCAAATGTCAGCCCACCAACCTGTCTGGGGCAGTCTGCCCCATCTCTTCTGCCACAATTTCTAGTTGAATTATCTTGGTGTAAATATGCAGGAGGCTGCCCATTTAATGCCCTGATGCCCGGGGTGTTATATACAGCTCTGACCTACTCATATCATGTCCCATGCCTCATAGATGGCATTGCAAATTGATAACAGCTCCATGCGAGGCCAGGCTAAACTCTATCCTTTGCTAGGCCTCTAGCATACTACTCTCGCCCCCCGCCCCCTCTCACAGGGCCTTATTCACCCTGCCCCCTCCCACTGAGCTTCATGCGTAGCGGCCCTCACTTGGGCCACGGATCTGTGCAGCCCCTTTGGGTCCCCCTTGGGCCCTACTCTACACAGCCCTTCAGGCTTTCCTGCTCACACTGTGGCCAGCCCACACAGCCCTTCAGCCACTGGCCTTATGCCTCACACTGGGCTGAACGCAGCCACTAGCCCCTCTCCGGGCAGCTTGCCTGGGTTGGCCCCTGTGCAGCCCTCCACGCCCCTCACGCAGCCTGTCAGGCACCACCAGGCACCTTACGCTGTACAGGCCTCTACGCACTTCTGCCCCTGCACTGGGGCTCGTGGTCTTACACCCCATGGGCTCAGGTGTCCTCAGACATGCCTGGCCCCTACTGCCTGTTCCTGCTCTAAAACTACCCACTGGCTTGTTGGAGCTGGGGTTATAAGGCGCCCCAACCCACCTTTCACTGGGGAGGCAACTGACCTGGCATTTCTGGGGAACTGCCCCACCACAGGCAGCCCCACCAGGGTGCAGACTTCAGTCATACCTCAGGATTGGGGGGCCTATGCCTTTCCGATAGCTCCTGCCCTTACCTCCAAGGACGTGCTGAGCCACAGCAGCTGGGTGGCAGACTGCTGCCTCAGCCCTGAGTTAAAATGGAGGCTACTCAGTCTCTTCTTCGAATCCCATGGCCCATCTGCAGTCACGTGACTGCCTCATCATGGGGGGCAGGGCCTGCACCTGCCAGCCACTCAGCTGCCTGCTCTGAGCCCTTAAAGTGGCAGGCACCAAAGGTGCCCCACAGACTTTCTCTGGCATCAGGGCTCCCCACATTAGTTTTCCCTACAGTTCACAAAGAAGACCTGGGCTCAGGATTAGCAGTAACCAGTTACATTACAGGACTCTCATTATAGGGTTACTATACATCCAGGTTTTCCTGGACATGTCCTCTTTTTTGATTCTCCAATCTCTGTCTGGGCAGGTTTTTTAAATCTAATCAAATGTCTGGGATCAGCTGTGCGAGAGCAGCGGTGCCTGCAGACACTAGGAGGAGCTGTGCAGGCACCTGGGAAATATCTAGCGGCATGGGGGCAGAGGAGATGTCCCGAGGGTCCTGGCACCTACCAAGTTCAGTTTAGTTTCTTTGCCACAGCACAGAAGACATCCCCACGATCCTAGCACCTGCCTTTTTCTATCCATTCCTCTTGCAGTGGCGTCTGATCAATAGGGGGCGGGGGGCTGCAACTCGTGGAGGGGGCTGAGCTGTAGACAGCAGCCCACTGTGTGAAAAAGTTTGCAGGGGTGAACAGCCAGGAAACAGAAGGAGCAGGGGCTGAGGCTTGGAAGTGAGGAGCTGGGACCTGTGGGTCCAGAGTGTGGGGCAGGGGGCTGCGGGTCAGGAGCAAGGGGCACTAGCAGCAGACTGCAGATGAAACTCAGCCACCATAAAGAATTAGATCTAAAGCTTTGGTCTTGTCTCTCTGCTCAGTGGTGGAGCGAAGAAGGATTTTATTCCCCTTCCTCAATTTACCACAGGCAGAAACCCACTACTAGAAAAGCTATAGCATAAATCACCTGGACTAGGTTTCTTCACGGTTTGTGAGATCTTGGAAAGAATGCAGCACATTAAACTGTAGGCACAAGGGATTCCTGACATGGTTCACAGACACCAAGGCATGTAATTGTTAGCTGACTGTACCTCTAGGGAAGGTCACAGATCTGCTTGCATTACTGCAGCTTCAGCAAACAATCCAGCACTTTTTAGCCTTTGCAAGTTGGACAATGAGCAATCAGTACAGTGAATTTCACTGTCTGATTCTTCCTGCAATGACAGAGCTTCAAATACTACACAGAGACAGATGTTGCACTGGGTCAAAAATTGTTATTTTAAAATTCTAGTGAAAAGCAAAGAAACATTTTAGAAAATGATTGTTTTGATAATACAAGGCGACAGCTCACGGAACTGAAGGCCAGAACTGAGATTTAGTGCTGGGAGCTAGGCGTTTGGGTGCCCAGGGCTAAGACAGACCAAAGGAGCATTAGTTAGAACATGCAGCAGGCTCCTTACAAAGGACATTTGATTCTTGAAGCCCATGAAGCCATTCATTGCCCAGCCCCCCATACCCTGTCACCCTAAATTCAGCAAGGCCACTGCTGAGAACCTACACTGTATTCTCTACCCCCCACAATGACCACAAGGCACAAGTGCTCTGGAGGGGGCACGTCCCCCTCCAGCTCTGAAGGTGCTTGGGTTGTTTAAGTATTTAAACGTTTAAAACAGCAGCGTGTTTACAAAAGGGACAGCACAAGAGACTCCACAAAGCAAACGGCTGATGCGACATGGGGCACAAAGCTGAGGGCTGCAACAAAGAGATTGCTTGTTTTGCTTAGTGTACTGGAGGGGGAAAAATTCCAAGGAAAGCCTGAGAGACACCCAAGGAGCCAAGCAGGTCAATATTCTTTGCAAGCCAAATCCCCCGCATTAGGCTCCCACTGTGTTAGCAACAGCCAGGCTGGGTTGGGAAGGATGTGGCTCTAGCTGAGGGGAGCAGTAAGAAATAGGTCCCTCCTCCACCAAGAATCCTGTAGCAGCTGGGAAATTTAGTATGCCCCACCTTAAAATAGATCATCATATAAATTAGGTTTCTCTCTAAAAGCAGGTTGCTGGAGGGATCAGCTCTGGCCCCAGATGCCTTTTGCTGCCCTGTGAGGGTCTCAGCCTTAAAGCCCAAATTTAAAATAACATTTTGTAAAAACTAGTTTCTGTTGGTGTCTTTGGGCCAAAGTCAGCCTGAATCTGAGGCTGCAGTGCCCATGTCATTGATGGCATTGTGTCTGCTCATGCTAGAGCTGAATTTGGCTCTAAGTTTAAGACCCCACAGGAATCTTGTTTGGTTCACAGTCTTTTCAAACCCTTGCAGGTTTCCTTCTACTTGTTCAATAACTTCCTGTTATTGAAGCACTTCATGCCTCTTGCTCCTTCAGCCACTTCAGCAGCTGGGGCACGAAGTAGGTAATGATGATGTCAGCCCCTGTAACACAGCAGCAAGGAACATATGAGGATGTATTGGAAATGCAGCACTAAGCTAGTCTGCTCTGCTACCCCAAAGCAAATGATACTATACCCCAGGAAGGACACACCAGCCTTGCAGCATCATCCCTGCTACCCAGCCTGGCCAGGTGCCACTCCTTTTAACACAGCATCAGCAGCCATGAAGCCTGCAGGCTGGGCATGGACTGACCACAGGCCACATTTACATGCTCCATGTGACATTCAGGTTCTCCAGAATCTCAGGCTTTGTGTAATTTCTAGCACTCACAATGTGAACTGGAAGCAAGACATGTGGTGACACAGACCTGTGTCCACAGGTATCTTGAAACACTAACCCTGCAATGTGATCTCTCGCATTCTGCATTGACAGTGGGGAGCTTTTAAGTACTGAATTTATAGTAAAATCCACAGGCCACAATTCAAGCAGTCTCTTGGCCCTCTGCACACTCCTGCCTCTGACTCCTTCCACCCAGCATCACGTAGAGAAACGTTCATTCTCCACAAGCCAGATCAAAGAAGTGGAATGATTGCATCAAAGCACTGACAACTGGGAGGATTATGGGTTAACCCCCTAAGCATGGCTTGAGGAAGGTTTTGTCTCATCTTAACTAACCAGGTTAAGAAGTAAGACCCACACCAGGGAGGGGCTGCTGTGTTTTCACAGCCAGATGTCTTTGGAAATAAACTCTGGTTAACATGTACAGCATCTTTCATCCAGAAGGCTCCCTGTAGCCCATGGAAGGAGATATCCCTGCTTTATGAATAGTATAACAGAAGAGTAGCAAAGTGCAAAAACTCACATAGTAACACAAGAAGTGGCACAGCTGGAAACAAAATCAGGAGTCCTGGCTTCCAGCCCCTTGCTACAGCCACACATCAGGCTTACTAAAAAGTCAGGGAGACCTGGTTCTCTTGAATTGCTATTGATTGCATAGGAAAAACTCACAGAGCTTGAGCCACACAGAGCAGCAGTATAGCACGATCTAGAAACAGGTCTTCATTAAGGGCTGAAAGTGTGAACACCTCCCTCAGACCTGGCTTTGTGGTCCAATGTCAGCCTTCAGCTCAATACACATCAGTGACTGGCGTTAAAATCCTGGAATGACTGCAAGGGCTTTACACTGCCACCCCTCCTGCACTGAACCCAGAGGCAAAGAAAAGAGCTCCTAAGGTACTTGTTAGGTACCCAACCAACCCATCCTCCCACTCACCTGCTCGCCTGAACCCTCTCATCACCTCCATCACAGCAGCCTTTAGGTCAAAGGCACCAGCCTTTGCTCCATGCCACAGCATAGCGAACTCCCCAGATACATGGTAAACTGCCAGTGGGTGGGCATGATGCTGAAAACAGCAAAAAGGTTAGTGAGACAACACTGAGCTGCAGGGTATAGCTCTCCTGAGCTCTGTCTAGGGTACAAAGTAGGGGCCCAATGCATTTTTTGTTGCAGTCACAGAAACCCAAGGCTTTGTGAGTTGGAAATTAGGAGGACACAGTTTGTACACATCCTTTGCAATCCCACCAACACAGCCATGGTCTGACAGGGGAGCAGAGGCCACTGGATATCATATGATAGCTTACTCTGGCCACATGGCTAGATTTGTACAAATGCATGGAGTGCAAGGAGTAAAAATGCAGAGATGACCAACAGCAAGATTGCAGCAGCCCCAGCAGGCAGAGCTAACAAAACAGAGGAACCTCATAGTTCATCAGCCTAGGAACTAAAGCTCTAATCATGGCACAGGCTATAGCAGCAGGCCCCCACGGTCTCCTCCTAGACTGAATGATGTGGAACGTCCTCCAGGCTGTAGCGTCATGGAGAAACCAAGAGCAAGAGTCTGTACACAAGGCCCTCTTCCTTTCTGCTCTTCCCCAGGGGATACACTCATCTGAAGAAGCTCAAGGCCTTCCATGCCCTTCGTTAGGCTGAGAGGCCTCTCTAGTTTTAAAGGGGTTCCCCCCTCCTGAACTAGCTAATTCCAACCCTACAGCCTCTCATTCCATTTACAGTGATATTAGAAGCGTCATTCCCCTGCAGACTTGTGTGGAGCTTACCCTGGCTTTGACTTCTCCCACAATATCCAGGTAGGGCATCCCTGGCTTTACCATCAGCATGTCTGCTCCCTCCCTCACGTCCCGGTCCTGGAAGGAGAACACAAGCCCGGGAACCTGTGAGTTGCACAGACATGGGGCAGGACAAGAATTTGGCAAGACCAGCTGGTTCACCTGATAGCTGTGGCTTAGGGACTGGTGCCAGAGGGAAGAGACAGTGTTTCCCATAGGAGAGACTGAGTTTGTCTGGCTCTTTCTAGCACTCTGTGCATCCCTAACCCACCTCTGTCCCTCCCCCAAACCCATGCACGCAGAAACTAGACAGACCAACAGGAGCTGTTCTGTACTCAGCAAGAATCTCCATGCAGTAACAGGGTGGGAGCTGCAACACCACATAGACCCAGGTGTGAGAGATGTGTCAAAAAGGCCAACACAAGGCACATTTCTGCTCTTCCTCTAGCAGGAAGGCTGCTATGCTCAAAACAAGGACCAGGAGGGGGAGCGATGTTTTGGCTGAATAGCCAGAGGTGCTAAATAAGCTGATGCTCTTCACTGCACCAGAGCTAGCCACTCCATGCAGAGCCGGAGTTCAGTCCTCATTCCTGTTTCACATTGCCAGCAACTACAAGAAGGCTGGAGAGAAACTGGAAGGCTGAGCCAGCCCTACAACTCCTGGCTTAGCAGGTCCTGAAGTCTCTGGCCAAGCAGGTCTGGAGTAGGAGAGAGGGAAGTTCAGTTCTCCTCACCAGAGGGCACAGTTCTCCTTATCGGAGAGCAGCTACTATGGTGCCTGGGAGGGGCAAATATATGTGAGATCCTGACATGGACCCCTGGTGAGGCCAACTCAATGGCACACAGAGTCCTGCTCCAGCACAACCAGCCTCTCCTAACCCTACTTTGAAGCCCCACATGCCAAGAAAAGGCATTAGGCCTTGCTAACAGACAATTCAGCTGCAATTGGTGAGCTGGGTGGTAACAAAGGACTTGACATTTCTCCAGCTCACAAGAGAAACTCACAGATCTTCCAAGCCAGTGCAATTCACTGCAGCTCCTCACTCATGGTGCACAGCTAATCTCATGCACTTGGTTCTGCTTTCCCCAACATACTCCTCTCCCTGCCAGAGGCACCTGTTCAGCTCAGCATGCACAGGCCCATGGCCCTATTGTTGTGCCCAGGCTCTCTGGAGGGCAGGAACAGGTGCGATTCACTCCCCAGCACAACTCAGCATCACCTCAGGTCTCATATAAGCGCTCACATCAGGACATGAAAAACAGGAGAAAGGCCCAGGGATGAGGATGCTCCTGGGACAACTGGTTTGTGGGACCCTGTGTGGCATCCCCTGTGGCAAGCTCACTCACCACAGCTCGCAGGGCCAGGCCCCTGGCACCTGGAGGAAGCTGGTAACATCGCCGGTCTCCAAAGGCAGGTTTGGACTGGGCAGCATCTCTGTTAACACAAGAGACCAGACAAGAGATCAGTACAAGACTGCAAAGAATTCCCACCAAACAGTTGTGGCAGAGCTCAGGCAACAGGGTGGCCCTCTCATAGACACAGAGGCAGGGGCAATGCCCCATCTTCTCCCTTCAGTCCAGAAGGCGGGGGCAACTATGAAGGCCTTCACCCCATTCCACTCAACAGGCTAGGAACCCTGACTAGGAACCCCTGGGACACAGGACTAGGAACCCTTGGGACACATGCCAGACATGGTCTTTCATCACTGTTCCCCCCCTACTCCTGATGGCTGAGAGTCAATCAGTTCAGACCTTCTCCATCCCTGTTCTGAGCCAGGGGACCCTTGGAGGCATTGGACACCAATAAATTGCAATTCCTAACAGTGGTAAGCTTCCTCCAGCAATGAACCTGACAGCTGAGTGAGCTAGGGCCTGCCTTGACACACACACACCAAGGGACAAGGAAAAGATCCATGCCATTCACCAGCAGGGTTCTGGAGATGTTAACTCCTGCCCTGCTCACCCTTGCTCCCAAGAGGCTGTGAGCAGAGGCCCAGGTGAAGCTGGGTGGGCACAGAAGTCAACTCTGGAGGTAGCAGGGAGACAGTGGGTGCCTGCTCCCAAAGAGAACCTGTTAGCTTGAGTCCCAGGACCTATATGCAGGACTCTTGGCTGAATCCTAGTTTAGATCCCTAGGTCAAATGCAAGCCCTCTGGGGTTGGAGGTGAAGTCTGGCACACAGGCTGCTCACACTCACCCCTGCCTTTGTGAGACGCTTACCTGAAGGGACCATAGAAGCAGGAAGCAAACTTGGCACTGTAGCTCATCACACAGACCTATGGAAGTAGGAGAGACACAGGGAATGTCACAGTTGTGTCCTGGTCAACAACTGAGTTGGGGGAGCTATTCTTTCTGCATGACGTTCTCCAGTTCTCCATTCATGGGGGACCTTGGATCCACTCCTCTCTAGTGTGACCTGGATCCCCAGGTTACTCTGTTCCCAACCATGTGCTCTGGGGAGTGCCTCCATGGCATCTACCATGCAATCTGTTGGCCAACTGCTGTGGAAAGAGAGGAACCCCTCACTGCCACACCCTCGTCATGCTGTGATGTCCCTGTCATGCAGAACTCCAGGTGGAGCCATTCATGACAAAAGCACACGCTTGTTACCTGCTCACCTTATTGCCCATGTCATTGGAGATCAGGGCATGTTTTATGGATGCAATGCGTCCATCCATCATATCTGAGGGGGCCACGATGTGGCATCCTAAAAGGAGAGACCACAGACATTAAGGAACTGCAGAACGTGCTCCCTGCTTCAGGGGAGAGGGGTAGGAGTCACTTCTGGAATGGGAGGCTCCAATCTGAACTCCCAGCACTTGCTGGAATTGGCGGGCTCCAACAGCCAGGAGCTCAGGAGAAGAGCTGCTAAGTTACCATTCATGTTGGCTGGGGGAGTATGCTGCATCCTGCTAGAGGAAGAGAGGAGTTGGTTTAGACACTCCACAAACAGTGGGTAGAAGCAGAGGTACATGGGATAGGCCTAAGTACGTGCAGCTCCTTGCAATACCAGCATGTCTTGGGCACCTACAACCTCCCTAGACATTGGCCCAATCTTGGCAAGGACCAACTGCTATTTGCTGCCAGCTCTGTAGCGGGGTGGAGAGGGCATCAGCAAGAATCATCCCAGCTGACTGGTTACTTCCAGGAATACCTCTTACCTGCCTTGGCGTAGGCCAGTGACACTTCTGCCAGCCTCTGGCAGCTGGCCTCATTCTGGATGGTGCCATCCTCCCGCAGGATGCCTGGAAAACAAGATCGGGGATTAGAAAGGAACTGAACCAGCCTGCATTGCCCATTACTCTGTGGTTCCCATCTTTGTGGTACTCACCACAATGCCCGTGTGAGGTGTAGGGGCACAGGCAGACATCGCAAGCAATCAGCAGCTCTGGGAAGGAGGAGCGGATCTTCTTGATGGCCTGGATGGCTGGCATGTCTTTGGAGTCAGCAGCGGAGCCTCTTCCATCCTGAAGGGAGGAGACACGCTCCTTTAAATACATATCCTAAAGGGTCACCCCTTCACAGAGGTCCCCATACACACTGCACCCAGACTCTGCTGGGGCAGCTGCACTGCAGAATTGAGAGAAGGAAAGGGCCCACAGCCTGTGGAGAGTGCAAGAGATGGGATGCAGACACAAGCACTGGGGTTGGCCAGGGAGATACCTTTGGCATTTGGGAAAGACAGGGAAATTGTGGCAGTAAGCGATCAGGAGGATTTTATTCTCATCCACCTAATCGCAACTCCCCCAGTACAAGTTGTGCTCAGTGGCCAGAAGGAGCGCATGCCCCAGCCCAAGTTATCTGCCCTGTTCCTTGTAACACCAATGCCTCCAAGCAATGGGGCCAGCATAGGAAGCTCTCACTTGGAGTCTACCAAGCCCCACACCCTGCATTACAGCTCCCCCTTGCGTTACACAGGCATAATGGGGTCTGCAATGATGCCACACAGAATACCTACAACATTTGGGATGGTCCCTGGAGATCTCCCATCCAAGCAGCAACTTCTCTCTGCCTTGCTGAGCTGACATGTTCTTATCATAACCCAAAAACCTCCCCACAACTCAAGGACCTCCCCAAATCAGCAAAGATGCAGCTGAAGGGATTCAGCTGATTTTTCAGAGGATTCACAAGACACCTTTCATCTTCCTTCTTCCCTCCCCTCATCCCCCCCACCCCCTCGGCTTTGCCAGGGCCAACAGCTCGAAACCCATCTGCAGCCATTCACCCCAGCTGACCTTGGGGACTTTACTGGGCACACCAAAGATCAGCACA